AGAAGAAGTATCGCAATTTCATACTTATATAATCTATAATAGATTGTCGATATTTCATTTGCTACATATTTGAAATAGACATTTATCTGGCATATATCTATTGAATGAGAATGAATATAAACCTTGTGAATGATTTATATTGATGATAAATATTCTTCGTTTTTTAAATGCTAGACTATATAATTAGAAAATTTATAATCTTGTTATTGCATGAACTATATATTTTCTATAGAAAAACAAATATGAAATTCTTTGATTTATTTAGTACAAACGTGAATAAAGGAAATGATTAGTTCCGGTGATTTTTATTGTTTTTATTTCTACTTTATTCATTCAATAAGTGTTCTATTTCGAGTTAATTGTTTATTTATTGTTTTATACAAAATAGATTTAAACATTATAAAAGTCATTTATAATGTTCTAATTTTTATGAAATATTGTTAGATGTTATAATAAATTAAGTTAAGATTTCAAATTGAACTATTCCATTATTTTAATTATCATTTGTAAAACAAATAAAAAATATTAATCTTTGAAATTTTAACAACAAAACTGACTCAATATAAGTTGATATACAACAAGGAATAGATCTTGTCTCAAGAGTATGCCCGATCAATGGATATGAACCATAATTGGATAAGGACGAATTATCTTTTTTCTTTTTGTTATGTTTTGTTTTTTTTTTTTGAATAATTCTTGAGGGATTGCATCGACGGCAAGTGTATTTCGATCATGATGAATGATGCTTATCTTAAAGAGCTTGACGACATGTTAAGAATACATAGTTCGATTTCATCATATAAATATGAATTTATCTTTCATGAATCATTTACCGCTAATATATATATATATAAATATGGATTATAACAATTATAAAAATTTTTAAATTTACAAATAAATAAAACATAAGCATTAATTTAGTTCAATTAGATCAAGAAATAAAGATTTCTTTTTTTTTTTTTATCGAATTAAATCTATCAACATAAAATATATACATTAACTATTCACTTGATTAACTAAAACATATTATTATATAAATGTAACGATTATATAAATTCTTTGATTATTATTATTATTATAAAGCAAAAGAAAATAAAAGATGATTTTAGAAAAAAAAAATGTCACAATAATGTAGGACAAAATCTCTCTCTCTCTCTCTCTCTTTGTGTCATATATCCTATATAGTTCTAAAACAAACTCTATATTGTATACTGTTCATTTGTCTAATTCGCATTAACACCAGCTGGTGTCTATCAACGTAGTATGGTCTCAATTTTATGCTTATAGATCCCACCAGCTGCTTGCCTTCTTTTTTCTTTTCCGTATCTGTAAAAACAGGAAAAAGAGAAAAGAACAGAATAAGGAGTCAAACGATGGGATGTGCGTTAATTGGGTTGATAGTCAAGTCAAAAGACAAGCGGAAATAGTATGATGTGCAAACGACACACACACACACATACACGGAATATCGTATAGAAAAAAAAAAACGAGAAAAAAAATAATGAAAATCACCGATTGACGCAACGAACAAATGCATTATAGTATAATCTAATATGACAGCAATGAACTTTGTTGGCAATAATGATGACATATTGACAAATGATCATAATACTAACTAGCAAAATATGGTGTCTGCTTAGTTCATTATTTGACAAAATTGGTTTTTTTTTATCTAATAAATAAGAAAGAAAAATATCAAAATGGTAACAAAAAATTGGCGATCAATATATAAATTTATTATTATTATTATTTTTTGTATATATATAGAGAGAGAGAGATATATTCGATCGTAGATAGTTATATATTATATTCAGCTTTTCCATTCTCCTCCTGAGAAAAACAACAAAATAGAATAAGTAGATTAGGATTCTTTTTTTTTCTCATGTTTAGAAATAATCAGGTTTTGCCTTGAATTTAACTTTGCCAGATGTATTTCCCAAATCATCAATATTGCCTGTTGTTGTAGAAATAGGTTCTTTATCTTCGGATTGTTCTGTAGTTTCATCATCATTATCTTCAAATGAACATTCAAAACGTTTTACCCATGGATCAAGTGTCTCATCATCATCGTCATTATTATTATCATGAGTAGTTACATTATTATTTCGTCTCAATTTTGCATAGGTTGATGATGTATTACTAGTAACCGGTATTGGTGGTGTACGAGATGTATTCATTAATGAACGTATAGGTTTTCGAGTCGTTGGTGGAGTTATAGATGATTGTTGTTGTTGTTGTTGTTGTTGTTTAGTACGTTGATGATGAGTATGAGCAACGGATAAGGGTGGATTATTATTATTATTATTAATGTTTGGCTGAGGGGATGGAGAAGAACTCGATAGAGACGATATAGTGGCACATTTAGCAACAGATGTTGAACGTGTATCAGCAATATTTCCATAGATTTGATCTGACTGTGTTGGTATTTGTTTTTGTTGTTCTTTTTTTGTTCGACGTTGGTGATGATGATTAGTTATTGTTGGTCGTTCTAAACTAGATATATGCTGTTGTTGTGATGGTTGTTGTTGTTGTTGTTGTTGTTCTTTTATATTATGTTGATGATGAGGAATAATTTGTTTATTTGAATGTATAGAACTACCTTCAAGACTTTTGCCTCGAGCTGAACGAAATATAGCTGGTACAGAAATATTTTCATTCATAGAAGTATTTTCATCACGACGTGAACGACGTGGTGATAATGGTCTATTGCTATCTTTAATAGTTGAACGTATACGAGGATTATCATAGATTTGTTGCTGTTGTTGTTGTTGTTGTTGTTTTAATAATGATGATGATGGCGGTGATGATAGTGTTTCATTAATCATTGATGATTGTACTTCATCATCAATAAGTTTCCATGTTAATGTTAGTGTTACTGAATCAGGTCCACCAAATATGTCCCATGAAAGAGCATAACGACAACTTTCTTTGGCCATTGTTCGAAGAAAATTAATGACAGGTCGAGGTAATTCGAGTACATCCATTAGATTAATAATTAAATTTCTAAATCATTTTGTATAATTTCTTTCTTATGTTATGTTTCTTTTTGTAGTTGTAACTATATATCTAGAAAATTGATATTTATACAAGAAATTTAATAATATGTTGATCTCTTGACTAGAATAAACGGTTGAATAAAACAATACAAAAAGTAGAAAAAAAGATTCTACTTGTTTGTTCTTTTTGTAAATCTTTTTCCTATCTATCTTCGTGTCGCTGTATAGGGTGTGTATGTGCGTGTGTTTTTGTTCTCGCCATTTTTTTTTATCATCAACGACAATGGAATTGCAGCTTCGTTTTCTCTTTTCTTTTTCCTTCGTCTTTTTTTCCCGTGAGGACTTGCGCATTCTTAGTAAACACAAAACTTTCTCTCTATTTCTCTATCTCTTCTTGGACGACTAAAAAATCTGTATGTTTCCTTACTCGTGCCAATGAATGAATAGACTTGCGTGAATGTATGCGTATATATATATATATATATGTGAGTGTGTGTGTGCAACAATAATACATCCCGGTGATGTCATTTCCTCTATGCACTCGATATGCCAACAATAGTAGTAAATCCTATAAAAATGGTTGATAGAAAAAAAAAAAAGAAACTCTATGTATGTAGATTCTTATCTTGAAAATGAGATGCAATCGACCTCTGTTGAAGAGAACTCAAGAGAAAAATGAGTGTATAAAGTGTAAATAGTAAGAGAATAACAAAGATGACTGGCGAAAAATAACATGGCACAGCAGGATTTATAGATACATGTCCTAGATTCTTCTCTTTTTTGTCTCCTATTCATTTCGATATAATATAATGTAGTACTCAAAAATTTTATTAATAATTCTTGTTTTCTTTTTTCTTTTTACACATGCATTCAGATTTGGAGTATAATAAGAAAATTAATGATTATTCTGTATTGAGAAAAAAAAATGTCGTTTGCCTGAAATCAGTTACCTATTTTATTTATGCAATCATTCAACGATTGTCAAGAAATAACGTTAAATATAGCTGTCACGAAAAACAAAAGGAAAAAAAAATTCTGCATTTTTGAGCTAACTTAATGCATACGTCAGCTGCTTATATGTCAATTTGATGAGAACACCCAAGCAGACAGATAGAGACAAGTGACAAGAAATCCATTATATTGGAAAGAAAAAAAAAACCGAATGCAAAGAATGAGTGAATAAAGAACAAAAGATAGAAACAGCAGTGATAGCAATAGACTGACAAGTGATTTTCCCACGCATATATCGATATACAAATATAATAAAACTAAGGAAGTATGCATATTTAATAGAAGACAAAAATAAATGAAATATAGTGGTTCATTGTTAACTATAAAACAATGAAGTATAGAATAAAGGTTTTCTGTTTTTTTTGCTGTCTTCTAAGCTATGATCCATGAGAAGAAAAAAAAATCTCATATCATATTTGGCTTCTTCTACTATGCGAAATTTCCTATCGACATCGGTCTGCTTACTTCCTACAGTTGTTTCTAAACTAAGGACATGTTGTCAACGTGGGAAGAATAGAGATACAAGCTACGATTCTTGTCGTATTACGTATAAAAAGAAGAAAGAATTTCTTTTTTTTTGGGAGGGTGTTTAGTGCTATTAATTGATAATACAGAAAAGGAGGCACAAATGTTTTCTAGTCTATAATGTAAGATTTTTAAAAAAAGAAAAGTAAGAAAAGAAACAAACTATGCATGATTAATGTTAAAGAAATAAATGAATGTAAAAGAATTTATAATTAATTCAATTATTTTGATTTGAGACAAAAAAACACAAAATAAAACCAACTTTGTCTACAGTCCATTTATAATAAGTTAGCGAATCATCAACTTGATCTTTTCTTGTCGCGGTTATGCTAACAAATATAAATGTCTCTCAGCTTACTTTTTCAATGGAAAAGAAAAATAGAAGCACGATGCAGTAATATATTTATTGGTTAATCCTATTTTTTTTCAATGTATGTCGCATCATCCTCATACTATAGAGTAATAACTATGATAGCAGCGGAAGAAATACATAGTCGATCAGTAAGCCCGTAGGCTTAATCATTTCTTCTATAGCACGCATATAGACAAAACTATGCATGAATGTTTATACCAATAAAAGAATTACAATATGTAGATAGATTGATAGTCAAAAATTCTACTATAGAAATTAGATATCACCTTGTCGTTTCTTAGTAAAATTGTTTGTTTTGAAGTTATTTTATCTTAGATGGTTTATCACCTCTATTCTATTGACTGTTTGTCTGTATTACTGTAGAACATGATGGTTTACAGATGTGAAAATGGACCATACTATGACATTCAATATCGTCATGCAAAATCCTTTTATCTTTCTTCAATATGAATATATATATATATATATCAGCATTACTATTTTACGATATCCATCTGTAATAGACAATTCATCGAACATTATCACGATGATGATGAAGGTTGTATAAATATAAAAAAGAAAATCGATGTAAGAAAAGAAAGATGCCCCAGGAAATTGTGATGACAATGAACGATAACACATCATCAACATAGCCGTCATCACTAATAGGGTTAACGCATGTCTAACACCATTATCATAGGCGTGATCATTAAAAAAAAAAGAAGAAGAAGAAGAAAAGAAAAGAACAACTGAATACAAAAAAGCTTTTGAAGGCTTCACACATCTTTCATTTACTTTCCATATTCAAAGTGATCGTCGTCTTGAGATTGTCAAACGTACTTATTTTCTTTTTTTAATTTAACATGATGTTAAATCTCAGGAGAATTTTTTAACAACTATTAAACAAGAATAAACAATATGGTCGGAAATCAACTTTGATTATTTGCTATTTTATAAACTTTACAATAAGTGATAACGAAAAAGAAAATGCATGAACCTACTACCAATTTATGTATATCAAACAAATTTCTATTCTAGTCGAACAATATCTCGTGACAATAGAATTATTTAGTAGCATTTCAAAATCATATAAAAATAAATGAAGATTATTCTTGTCATGCAATTTTTTTTCTCTATTTGATCGATTAAGAAATCTCCACCGCTTGTACAGATGTTAAAATCGACATTACTTGCCGTTTAATTTTCAGTTGTTTTATTGTTAATAAAGATACGAAGTGTTCTCTGTCAAACAGCATATAGATAAGGGCTCTTTTTTTGTTAGTTAGTAATCTTATTAAACTCAAACATCGAACTTCTTGTCAGACAAACTTGCGCTGCGATTATTTTTTGTGTGTAAAATTCTCTTCATGATAATGTTTATTTCTTCTATTAAAAGTGCTGACAGCATGGGTCATAGACCTCTAACGCTGCCAGTTTCCGATTACTTCAGTTAAAGAACAAACAATTCTGATAGATGCAGAGTAATTTGTCTGTCACTTTTCTCGAAATTGATTTCTATAGAGAAAAACAAATGTAGAATAACCTTCAGTTTCTTTGACATAGTACGTTTTATTAATTGATGTTTTTTGGTGATATACTCAGTATTTTAATCTTTTTATTCGAATGGAAGGAGACGAAAAATTTTCAAGATTTGAGACCTAAATATTTCCTAGAAGGAAGTCTTTGACAATTTGAAGTTCATAATAACTTTTGCTTAACTCAAGAAGAATTATCTAACATAAAAGCTTCAAATATTTCTTATGATCTGTTGTTGAGAAACGTCGAAAAAAAAGAGAGAAATTCCCTTAAGTATATAGAACAACTTTTCTTATCAATACATTTGTATAAAATCGAATTTCAATTTTTTTTGTCATATTTTAACTCTCCAGTAAATTTAATACGAAAGACAATGTATTTTTGTTTTAGTACGATAAAGTAGCTGTATTTCTTCCACCACGAAAACCAGACGTACAAGTTGAAGAAAAATCAACATCATTATTTGGTGCAAAAGGTATTAAACCAAGTATTCTTCAACCAACATCAACATCATCTCTTTCAACAAGTCGACCAGGAGTTGATGATGGTGATGATATTTATAAAACAAATCCAACATTTGTTGCTATTATTGAACCAATTGCTAATAAATTTATGCCATTAAAAGAATTAATTGAAGTAAATTCATATGTTTGAAATGAAATCTATGAAAATTTTTTTTTTTTCTTATAAATAGAAATTAAGATTACTTGGTCTCAATGTTTTTCCTGAACCTGATTCAGATTCATATGTGAGCGTTATTAATAAAGTTAGTATTGCTTCATCATTTTTTTTCTATCAATACAATACCACACGACAATAATATTTGTTTTTTGACTTGATAGAATCATAAATTAGAATGGTGGGTGTATAATCAAATGGCAGTGGTATCATCATGTACGGCATTTTCTTACAGTCATTGGAATGCATTTGTTAATGATGAAATGAAAATCGTTGTTGGTTGTAAAGAACAATTAGTTGATCAATCAACTCGTGATGTAAGATTTAACTTTTTGGTTACACGGACTCGTATATATACGGATTGAGTTTTTATCTAGACTTTGGTCATACCATAGTGAACGATTTTTATAGAGCGCCTAGAAATGACTTATCTCCTATCAAAAACGAATTTCCAGCAGTCAATGAAAAAATGATGGGAAAAGTGAAATTCGTAAAAGAAAGTTTTCGATAGAAAATACATGAAAACACTCAACACTATACTTTTGCCGTAAAAATTTTTCTATTGTAAAAAATTAACATATGTCGCATCATACGATATAGTTTTCGGACTGATTTCAAATATGTTTTTATTTTTCTCTTATAAAACTTCTAAAAGAAAAGAATGCCGAAAACCTGTATTTCAGTTCATAAGCATTTATGCTAATTGAGTAGATATATCAGACAGAAAAAAAGCATTCTGTGAACGTTTCATACAGTTTGAAAGTGTGTAGATCGACTACACGTGTTCTTAGAAAACGCTTTATTGAGAAAGCACGCATACTCTTTTATAACCAGGAAACTATTAGAACAGAATGGTTTATAAAGGACAGGAGCTCTATGATATAGTCCATAGATCTTTCTGCTTTTTCTAAGATGACGGAAATCCGACTCTCTTTTAAGCCGAGAGTTCTCATAAATTCTTAAAGAGCTAAGAGATTTTTTTAAATCAAAACGTTACTGGGCGATCAAAGTACTTTAGACACTACTTAAACCTCCAAAGAATATCACTATCAATTTTCCATCTAATATTCACATTGTTGTCTACTATGTATAGAGTATTTTGTTTTTTCCATATGCTATTAGGATCTCAGCATCCTTTTATAATATTACTGTACATGTATGATTCTATCGTATACGTGACTTATTTACATTGAGTTTCTTCAAATATAACTTTTATGCTTCAAGTTGTGAAGAACATAGTCAATTTACTTACTATGATGACAAAAGATCGGCTATAAATTCTTATATTGAAGATATCAACAATTCACATAATTATAGTAAAATATAAGTATTATTATACTAAAACACTGCTAAAAAAGGCTAGAATATCTAGCATCATATATCTCTAACGCCGAATTTAGGAGCATGATGACATAGCAAAGTTTGCTCTACATACTCATATGTAATACTTGTCACGTGAGTACCAAACAAAGTGTCATTTAAGTATAACATGATTATCATAAATAATCAAATTATAAGAATATGTAGTTTATAGGCTATTATATGATAATGTTTTCATACTAAAATGACACTCTGTTTGCTATTCTAACGACGTTTTATATATGACCATGTACAACGAGTTTTGCATTACATAGTCTACTCTATTATTATGTTCCCAAACTCTGCATTAGAGATATATGATGATAGACATTCGAGTCTTTTTTGCAGCGTTTCTATATATAGTATTAATTATATTTTGTTATAATTTTGTGAATCGATGATCTCTCCAATATAAGAGTTTATAGTAGATTTTTTCGTTATCATAATAAGTAAATTGATTAAGCTTTACACGATTTGAAGAAATTCATATGTAAGATGTCACATTAACTGTGAGCAAGTTCACATTTTTTTCGAATTATCTTTTGCAAAAACTTCGTAACTAAAAAATTAAATACATTTTTTTTGTTTTATCAAGGATGATCCACATTGCATTATTTTTACAAGTGAACTTGTTGGTTTTACTGATATTTGTGAAAGTTCACAAGAATTTACTGAAGCATCAACATTTAGTGATGTAAGAATTTTCTTTATTTTAATATCGAATTATAATTTATTATTATTATTTTAGTATCATGCAGAATCATATCATTTAGTACGTGAAAAATTTTCAACGGAAGCATTTGCTCGTGTTATGGATGCTAGTCCATTATTTATTGAAACAGTTAATCAACTTCTATTAAGTATTAAACCATTAACATATGCTTAAAATATGATAAAAGAAAACATTTTATTATTTACTTAACACTTTACGTTTTTCTCTATTTCACTATTAATTAAAAAGAAAATCAAACTAATATCATTTTCTTCTGTTTTTGCTTTCTTAATAAAATAAAAATCAATTAAGTTTCAACATAGTAGACGGTTTTAGTGTATCTTCTATTGCAGGGAGGGGATTTACTTAAGTTTAACTGTTGCTATTAGAAACTATTCAATATAATTTAAGTCACCATAGTTTATCCTACTGTCTTATAAATATTATATAGTCTATGAGCATATCAAGATTAAGATTGACTTGATAATGTATTGCTAATTTTGTTCTCCTATGTTTTTATGCTTAAGATATATCAAAAGTAATGGCATTGAAATGTCGTGTAGATAACTCAAGGAAAATTTTTCTGTGAAATGATATTATCATAAACTTTTCTGAAATAAGTAGAAAGAATGAAGCATTCTTAGTTTTTGATATTAAACTTATGATTTTTTTTTTTTATTGTAAACTTAGATTTTGTCTTACACTAATAATCTGACTTTTTTTGTAGTTAATGAAAAGAGATAACTAAAAGAATTTTTTTGTCAATTAATCTAAAGCAAGAATATGGAAATCTAGTTAAGTTTACCAAGGAATGAATGAACCGATTTGTAAGTTCATTCGTTAGCAACGTGACTTCTTAGAATCAAAACGCTTCTACTTGTCTAGACTTTATCTTTAAAAAACAAATATGTACTGATTTGCTCTGGATATCCTGTAAATCGCAGTCTTATAAATCTTTATTCGACCAACAACTTATTTTGAAAAAGCTAGTGTTAATGACCTAACACAAAAAAGACAAAGATTTCTCTTGCAAGTATTTCCATTCAATCATACTGCGAATTCAAATAATATTTCTGAAAAATTAATGATGCACTTTGTGATGAAATTCTCAGATTAAAGAAGTACTGTACTAATTCTTTTTCAACATCTTTTTGTTTTTTCGAAACAATTCAGTTTCTTGCTGCTAGTAATGTGAAAGTATATGCATATGGATCTTGAAACGAAATACGAAGTCGAGGACTAATTTTAAGCGACCTAAGTCTTTCTTTGGAGTCTCGAGATAAATAAAGAATAAAAAATTTTGTTTCCAGTTATGAAGGAACCTTTAGACAATCAATTTTTATGAGTACTTTTTCAGAATTCAATTATATAATAAATTTCTCCATAGATCTAGTTCATTATTGACTAATTACAATTGCACTGATTAGTATAAAAATTCTGAATTAAGTATAAATTGAAAACTGCAAGATTTTTACTTTAAATCATAGTAAAAAAAATTGTTCTAAACAATCAACTTTGTAAAGAACCAAGCTCAAATAACAGATGGTCATATTCAGTTGTGTCTAATATTTACATATACCAGATGAGTCAAATTGATTGCAACATTGGATATCTTGCAAATTTTTCAGTACAGACAAATCATAAATTATTGTTTTTCTTCTAAAAGCTACACCGTTGAATTCTGTATAAACTTCTTTTTTATCCTAATTTAAAACTGAACATTTTTATAGAATGCTTGATGTGATTCTATAAAAGTGTACCTAACTCCTACATTTTATTTGTATTAATTTAAACTTTTTCTATACGAATGAATTTTCAATTCTTTAAATAGAACTCATTGATATGTAGCTCTTGAAAAGCTTTACTTCTTGTATATATATATATACAATATTTTCTAATCCTCAGCCATTTAGTTAGGCATTTTCTTCCACAAAGTCATTTTTTTCTCAAAATAACGAAATTTTCTTTTGTAATTATTTTTTTTCAACGAAAAAACATCCTAAAAGTCTCCGTAATGAACCCAACGAGTACAATTTTGCGCATTTCCAGGAAGTGGATTTATCTTTCTATTTAAAGCTCAAATCATATGTCATACGATTTAATTCAGCTGAAATAAGAACTTTAATAATGCTAACAAGTATATTTTCTATTTTAACAATTCAAATTAGTCATTGTTATTAAACAAAGTAGATTATGATCAGAAGCTTAGAAATTATTCTGAACGAGTAATTGGCATTCAGTTCAAATACAAGAACAGATTCTTTTGAATTTCTGGTTATAGTTCATTAATAAAAATCGGAAAAACACAATAATCATTCGTGAGATATTGCTCCATTATGCAAAACTTCATTATTAGTTTTGTTCAAAATCATCAAAAAATAAGTCAATGATATCTGTGCTGTAGAGATACCAATGGTGCATTACGTTGAAAATAATTCAAGAGCTTATGAATAGTCTATTCTAAAAAATTTGCAAAGTGACCGATGTTGCAATCATTTTTATTGCATAGTCGTGTAAAAATATGCTGATATTTAATCTAACTTTCGTTGTTATTAGGATGTTCTAACATGTTTAATTCTAGTAGATTTTTTTTTACCAAATATTTTGAATCAATAAAACTGAATAAAAACTGAAAGTTCAAATGTTAATTGAATTGAATAAAGATCAACTTAAACTTATTAAAGTTTGAAGTAGAGATTTGTATTACATAAACATAAATCAATTAAAACTGTGAATAGCTATTATTTTATGAATATATTTTATAGCAAATACTTTGCAAAGATATGGCCTTCTCTGTTAAATGTAATTCGTTTAATAGAAGTGATAAGTGCATAATATATTTATGTTTTAACGATATGTCGTTTTTATTTCTGTTATACTAATTTTGGTATAGTGATGATTGTAAAAAAACAAGTAAGAGAATGTCATGTTAGAATTAATATGTCTGTTTTATTTTAACAGAAAGGACACTGCTAGATTTAGTAACCCATCTTGTGCCAGGAAATCATAAATGTATCTTTGTACACTAACTCACAGTGCATCGAATGATATATAAGAAAGCAAGCTTTTATCGATGTTTGATATGCTTGGAATCCATACACGGATTACAATGCTTCGCGGATAGTATATATTACTCATAAACACTATAATCCCAACGATATTCTAAGATGAACTAATGAAATTTTTTAAATAATCAGTTCGATACAATTCTTTAATTTTCTGATATATTTGATTCTTTTTTCATATATAAAAATACCTGTGTTCCACAGACCTAGGCTATTTTTTGCTTGTATCTCATTTCAGTGTGCTCAGGCTTATGCAAAAAAACAAGGAAGTACGAACGTAACACTTCCTTACAAAATTACATACTATCAAATTCTATATGTTTTACAATAAATCTGTTTCGGAAGAACCGAGACTCGTTATCAAATTGCAGGACTGTCTACTAAAATAACATATTTTTCTATATGACAAGAGTGAGATATCTTGATTTTCGGAAAAGCTCGATGCCAGATAAACAAGATCAATCAGTTGAATAAATTCTCTCTTGATGATAAGTAATAGAGAAAGAAGAAAATAAATAGAATATAGAGAGATATGTTATAAATTATAATACTTGCACACATATATACCTTTACAACTCACACATTTAAAAAAACATAAAACTGTCTTTTTTATAATAATAATGACAATATTTTTCTAAGCGCCATGTATGAAACAAGTCCCTCCGAAAAGATAGCGCGAAGTTGTTCAAAAGAGAGAAAAATAGAGAAGCTAATGAGGGCAAAATACAAAACAAAGAAATAAGAAGAAGACTTATAGACAGGGGTTTCAGCGGTCTAGTATGCGGAATCAGGACAGAAATTTTCAAGAAAAAAATCAGGATTTGATCTCATAAATCAGGAAATCAGGATTCTCAAAACATAGGTACTATTCATTGAAAATGCATATAATTTCACAATAAGAATTATGAAATGTCAAATAGAATTCATTCTTTGCTCTATTCCAACAGTTGGTAATATCCTTTAAAATGGGAAATCGTACCACCTCTCGCGGAAAACCGATACCCCATACAATTTAAAGAGGAAATAGTCCTCCTATTGCCTCTCTGTTTCGAAAACATAACAATCACATAACATCTAGCTTAACTCTCAATAGAACAATTAAATCAAAGCGCGAAGTGACAAAACAAAAACGTTGAAACATTGTAACAATTTCCAACTCATCGTTGAGAAATCGTAAAATCAATACATTTCATCCTAGAAGGTCTAGTGCCAGCAGAAATCGTCAATTTCAAGCGTACATAGTTGGGACATCGTCAAGATATCCCGATGATGTCAGCTAGACTAGACTAGAATAACCCTCAGTAGACTCGCTTGCCTGGGCCTTTCGGGCTGAATCATAACCGTTTTACTGGATTCTGGACATATGACACCAGGAGGTTATCTCCAACAACAAATATGCAGTTTCGACCTGAAATTTTGTCTATATCTAAATATAATGGTTCCTAGGATACCATAAAAAATTCGGATAAAACAAATGAATCTTTCCTAAGATATTGAATATCCAAAATATTCCGGTTTTTGCGAATTTTTTTTTCTGTGAAATGGACGGCTTTTGAAAACTAAGCATCTCAAGAAGGATGCATTCGTTTTGTCTGAAACTTTTAGGATATCCTTGTGACCATTAGATTTATTTATAGACAAAATTTCAGATCAAAATCCGCTTATTTGCTGTTGCAGAGAACCTCGTGTCATAAGTCCAAAATCCAGTAAAACGGTCATAAATCAGCTCCAAATGTCCAGGCAAGCGAGCCAACTTAGGGCTATTCTAGTTTAGAGGCCTCCAACATATAGTGAAAGTATCAGGTCAAGTATGGGGACACCTTCTCTCTAAAAACAATTGGATCTTTACGAAACCAAAAAGGGTTTCGAGTTTGTACTCAGGTGAAAAACCATTTTTTTGGTTTCGTAAGTTCACGAAACCTTTTTTCGGTTTCGTAAACATCCAATCTTTTTTAGAGAGTTGAGAAGTTCCCTCGTGAGATTCGTTGATAGCCATCCAACAAGGAGAGTTGATGATTCATCGGGCTCTCAACTTCCAGACCTAGCTAATTCTGTGTTTGTTTATTCTTTTTTTTCTTACTGAAACATGACACGAGTTTTTTTAGGAAT